AGCAATTTTCAAAAAAAAGCAGCACGAACTTTTTTCAGGGTGTTCATAGATCACTAGGACCTACATGATGCTCATACTCTCGACTCAAAAGCGATGTGACACTTGGGAATGTTCCCTCGTTAGCTAGCTCCTCTGTTTTGAAAGATAGAAGTTTAAAAATTTCATTATAGATATTAATCGTTGGGTGTAGGCATTTTTTTGTGGCGGACGTTTTCCCTCTAGTGTGCTGCTTTTTTTTGAAAATTGCTACAGAAAAAAGCAATTTTTGGATGTTCTCTTAGGCTCAGATGTCTCTATGGAGGCGGAATGGGTTTTGAATTTTTGTTAGTGCCTTGGAATGGCCAAACCGTTCTATGTCCAACAATCAAATTCGTGGGTCTCTAGTTTGTTCCTAAATTGAAAGGAAAAAGCATCTTTCGGATCTATTTTCCAATTTTTATCAGCTGTGTATCCTTCCCTCAGGTAAAAACAGCTGATTTCATAAGACTGTCATATAGTAAGCCTTCACCAGGGTACCTAGGTCACCTCTTCTTGAACTTTTTATCATTGACCAATACGATTAGACCGAATTAGTTGATCTTGAGTTTTTGTATGGTATTTATAACAGCTATAACATCTATTTTTCTGATAAAAATGCAGGAATCGACTAACTTGGTCAAGTCACTCTGTTGAAAACTCCCTATGTGACAGTCTTACGGAATCAGGTATTTTCACCTGAGGGAATGGTGCACAATTGAGAAAAGTTGGAAAATAGATCTTAAAGATATCCTTGTCATTCGATTTAGAAACAAGCTACACAGCCATGGATTTCATCGTTGGACACAGAACAGTTTGACAATTCTAATGCACTCATAAAACTTGAAAATCCATTTCGCCTCCATAAATATATTTGAGTTCAAAACAATGTTCAAAAATTGCATTTTTCTATAGCAATTTTCAGAAAAGCAGCACACTAGGAAAGAAAAATGTCTCCTACGGAAAAATATCACATCAACAAGTAACATCTATAAAGAAATTTTCAGACTCCTACTGTTTGAAATAGAGAAGCTAGCTAAGGTCTAATTTGGCTAGGAGATACTACCTTGCTCCCTTATTCAGACCTCTCTGTAAGGTTTTCCAATGTTTTGAGTCTACAGCTATGCTTACAAGCCTGTGTACTATAAGCGTTGAACATTTCATTGCATTTGCATTGAGTCGATGCAAATATGATACGCTTTTGAAAGAATCACTAAATGTCATCTAGCGTTTTCGCTTACAGCGATACAGCTGACTTTCTTATTTTTTTACAATCGTTGGAGGCTCTATTTCAAAAATAAAGCTTGCATTCATCGAGTTTTTATTTTCTCAACTTATATTTGTCAGCCTATCCAGAATTTATCACACTCATACTCAAAGCAGTTATACCGTCGAAATCAGAACAGAAAGCTGAGCTGACTTATGTTGTGCTATCGTACTGATGATATACAATGCTGACCAAAATTATAGAACCACCTTATACTGACATTTTCATCTTAATTTTTTTTCCTGATATATTATATTTTCTTCCTGGATATATTGTATGATATGAAGTCAGATATGCTCTTTCAGAATATGATGAGAAATGTTTATTATTTCGTAAAGCTATCAAAACAAAAAACTTTCAAGAAAAAACAAATCAATTTTGCTGACCAAAATTATAGGACCACTACAAGTATTTTTATTTTTTATACCGAGCTTAAAACAATTCATCAATCGGATATTATATAAACAAAGCTTGATCTCTTATGATACTATTTTACTTGTTTTAAGTCTTTGTCGGATACGTCTTGTCAGATATTTTGTTGATAAACTACCTTATTTATGTAATTGGTGATCATGGTTCGTGTCAAAGTATCTTTAGAAAAGAAAATTGATATTAAAATTTTATTGCAAGTTGGATTCAGTCAACGTCATGTTGCCCAAACATGTGGTGTCTCAAAAACGTGTGCATTTCGTGTAGCCCAAAAATTAAAACAAAAATTACCATTATCAAATTTACTGGATCAAGTGCAGAAAAAAGCATCAGGAACAACTAACAACTAATGATCGAAATTTATTACGTTTATGAAAAAAAGATCGAACAAAATCTAGTCAAGAATTATCATCTGAACTAGTGCTTTCAAATGGTAAACGATTAAGTGCCCGAACAATTCGTCGTCTTATCCTGAATATGGGGTACAAAAAGTTATACAGAAAAAAAAAACGCCATATCGAAAACCTGCACAACGAAAACAACGACTTTCTTTTGCTCAACAACATCAATATTGGTTGAATGAGTGGAACAACATCATCTGGAGTGATGAAGCACATTTTGAAGTATTCAATCGTAAAAATCGTACATATGCTCGACGTTTAACAACTGAAAGTAATGAACCATTCAACTTTCTGTCAAGGGTATAAGGTGGTGGTAGAATTGTTAGCGTGTGAGGCTGTATATCAGGAGCTGCTCGTGGTCCATTGGTGATGTATTCTGGTAATGTGAATGGATCGGCATATATCAAGATAATTGAAGAAGCGTTACCAATGTTTATTGAAAATACATTCGATCCATCAAACAAAAATTGGGCATTTATGCCGGATAATGCACCACCCCATATATCAAAATATGTAATGAAATGGTGCAAAGACAATCAAATAGATGTGCTCAAATGGCCAGCTACATCTCCTGATCTTAACCGCATAGAAAACCTATGGGATCATATTGATAAAGAATTACGAAAAATGAAGCCCAAGAATGTTATCGAACTACAAGACATGATTCAAGATATTTGACGTGGTGTGACATGTGTATATCGTCAAAAATTGGTCAACTCGATGCCAAATCGTATTAAACAATGTATCAAATCCCGTGGTGGAACATTCAAAAAGTATTAATAAGATTACTCAAAGAAAAGATACGAAAACACTTATGCGGCCCTATAATTTTGGCCAGCAAAATTTAGTTGTTTTTTCTTGAAAGTTTTTTGTTTTGATAGCTTTATGAAATAATAAACATTTCTCATCATATTCTGAAAGAGCATATCTGACTCCATATCATACAATATATCCAGGAAGAAAATATAATATATCAGGAAAAAAAAATTAAGATGAAAATGTCAGTATAAGGTGGTTCTATAATTTTTGGCAGCACTGTATATTAGGTATCCCAAAGTGATTGCAACAAATCCTTTTTGTGAATATTTCTGCACAGATAAATGATATAATCTTGATTTTTTTCAAAAGATACACCTTGAAAAGCTGTACAAAATCTATTTTAATAAACTCCTATAGACATGTTCTAATAGTTTCTTCCACGGTCAAAATCCTACAGCATTTAACATAATAAAAATGTTTAAAAGACATTTTTGCTTTACATGTATCTCATCTTGAGAAAATGATAAAACCTTAAATTTTTTTTAATGCATCGTTGAAAGCTTTTGGAAAGGTGTATAAATAAATCCCTACAAACATGCTTCAATGATTTTTCTAAATAGTTGAGGGTAATCATCTGCGAGATGTTGTTATTCTTAGATATACCGAGCATGAGAAAATTATTGCAAATTTTCTTTTAGCGTAACTTTTCTTCGAAACAAAGTTTTATACAAAGGTGATAGAAATTCACAAAGTAACTATGAAAATTCATACGTATCATGAATTTTCATCAATAATAATCTTTCCATTATGCTTGTCAATCAAATAAACTCTTTGAAAACACATACCAATAACTGAACGTACGTAATTCAGATCAATCTCTGTTCAAGCTCTTCTAATTTATTGTTCCAAATCATCTTTTGTTTGAACATTTTGATATTTAATATTCTTATTAATACTGTCCCATATAGAATAATCGAGTGAATTTAGTTTCGGTGAGTTTGGAGACCACCTGTCTTTCGAAATAAAGGACTTTAAATAACTTTTGCACCAATATCGTGATCTTTCGTTGGTATGTGTAATCACACCATCTTGTTTCAAGCATCGATTGCAATGTTCAAATAATCAATCATCTTCAGCTTTGTAAAATGGTAGTCATTTTCTAATGTAAGTTTCAGCATTTAGACGTTCACCGATTTCAAAAAAATACGGATTTGTAAGTGCATTCCATGGTAGAGGCATTCCAACCCTAACCAAAACAAGAAATTTTTCTTTAGTATAAATACTGTTGTTCATATCAGCATCTAATCTACTACTGGCCGATATAACATCTTTCTTTGAATTTAGATATACCCATTTCGAGTAAAACTTTTCGCATCTGCAAACATAATTTTGTGTACATCTTCACATTCAAGTTCTTTCTTATCCACGTACAACATTGCTTCCGAGATAATTCTTTATAATCTGGAAGTTTCTGCACACATGTTCTTCGGCAGCATTTTTTTTCAAATCTCTATTGAGAATCTTTGAATTGCTGATTGACTACTTCGAAAATCTTTTGACATTGTGCGTTAACTTTTCTCTTGTTCTCTGATGAATGTTGTTTTACACCAAATTGACTCATCGTTTGGTGCTTCCATTTCTTATTCTACCTGTTGATTTTCCTACATGAAATGACTCAGTTAGATCGTATCGACATATCCAACGATGAATTGAAATACGATGCACCTGTTTTGCTAATAAAACTGCAATTTCTGGTGCCTTCTTTCCATTGTTCTGATGAGTAATAGCAATACCACGTAAATCTTCGCTTTCAGCCATTATTAGAACTTGAATCAAAGTTTATTTCTTTTTTCTTTTCTGTGTAGAAAACACACCTTAAAAGTACACTGACATTAATCGAAATGGGCATACGATCATATGTATATGTTGAGAGGACAAGCCGATATCAAAAAAGACGAGAAGAAAAATAAAGGAAGAAAAGGGACAAGAAGAACGAGCAAAAGATAGACGAAGGAAAGAATCTAGTCTATTATCATCATCACAGACGATCAGTTTCAACCATTTAGAAAAATCATTGAAGCATGTTTGTAAAGATTTATTTATACACCTTTCCAAAAGTTTTCAATGATGCATTAAAAAAGCAATTAAGGTTTTATTATTTTCTCAAGATGAGATACATGTAAAATAAAAATGCCTTTTAAACATTTTTATTATGTTAAATGCTGTAGGAAGTAGCATTATGATGTATGTTTTTCATTTTGACCGTGGAAGAAACTATCAGAACATGTCTAGAGGAGTTTGTTTAAATAAATTTTGTACAGCTTTTCAAGGCGTATCTTTTGAAAAAAAATCAAGATTATATCATTCACCTGTGTAGAAACATTCACAGAACAAACGATGTTGCAATCATCTTGGGACAGTCGGTAGGCTTACTTAGATATCATCGATTTATCGAGAATGGTCAAAACTTTTGAATCACGTTTTTGATATCATTGCAAAATACTGCTCCGAAATTTCAGCACCATTCTTTGTGTGTTACTTGAATTATGTTCATGTTATATCTGAAAAGCCTCACAAAAGACTTTCATAGATTTCGTTTTGACACTAAATCTGAAACAAGCAGTTTTGAAATTCAAACGACAGAAAACGATTCACAAGTTTTAGTTATTAATAATTCAACTTTTTAAAATAATCAGTTGATTATTCAGCGAAAAAATAAATCTCTCTCCAAGAACTAATTGAAGAGAAGAAACATATATAGTCCTGTTCAGCTGTTCAGATTCTATCTAACCATATACAGATATATAAAAGTCTGCTGTAGTTTTGATTTTTCAGCACCTTATAGAAATGAATCATTCCAAATACCTCGTACTACCCCGTCCAAAAAGCAGAGGGTATACCTATTTTCATAGGCATGCTGGTCAAGAATATAAGTACAGACTTTTTTTGACGTTTTCGCTCTATATGTCTTTACTTTTTTCCTACTGATAGGAGTTTATATGCAGAGATATATGCATTCGGTCGCGCTCTATCCGAAATTGAAGTCAGATTTCCTCATTTCTCATGTCAGACCCGAGAAAAGACATTTTTATTTAAAAAAATTGGACGTTTTGGGTATCACTAAAAAACGCAAGTGTAGCTCACATTTTCTGATTACTAAAGCTAAGATCAAGATGGGACTGTTTGTTTTTGAAAGTTTTACACCATAGAAGACACTTTTTGCTACAAAATGAAAGATTTTCGAAGTCTGAAAAATTTTATCCGAAACAAAATGATGCTTCAATAGAAAAGAACAGTTTTTATATCAAATTCAGTTTGAAATCGTCAATTTCTAGGGTTCTCAATTTCAAAATGTCGTTTGCTCACTAATAAAAAGCTTCTGATACTACGAAGACCTATCGTTTTGTAGCAAAAAGTCTGCTCTATCGTGTAAAGCCTTCAAAAAAAACAGTCCCATCATGGTCTTAGTTTTAGTAATTAGGAAGTGTAAGCTGCACTGGTGATTTTTTAGTCATACCCAAAACGTATGATTTTTTTAATAAAAATGTCTTATCTAGGGTCTGATATGATAATCAAGGAAATCTGACTTCAGTTTCGGATAGAGCGTGATTGTATGCATATATCCATGCACATAAACTCCTATCAATAGGAAAAAAGTAAAGAAATATAGAGCAAAAACATCAAAAAAATAGTCTGTACTTACACTCTGGGTCAGTACTTCATATATATAAATATGGCCATTGTTAAATAATCTGTATATCCATTATTTCCTATGTAAAAAGGGAATCACATATATATTATATATATGGGGATAACCATTCTGGTCAGATACCCGAACTCTTTTCCTAACATATAAGCTTCATAGTACATCAGAATATTATGATGTTTTTACCAGCTATAGTGCTTGAGTCGTGCTAACGATACGTTATTGTTTCGAATATATATTTTGTCGAAAACGAATATAATCAAGAGCCTTTAATAATCTTTTAGTACAATGCACTTTTATCAAACCTATTCACTGTAATTTTTGCCTGCTATTTAAAACACCAAAAAGTACTTTCGTCAAATTTTTATTGGAAATGAATAAACAGGAAAGATATGTAACCTATCATGATCTATAACTGTGAATAGAGTATCTACTTGACTTAATATAACACCAAGTAGAAACAACATATGCAATATCAGTACTCTTCTGAAAGTCATCATATGATTGCTTGAAAATATCTCCTAAGACATCGTACTATTTAATACGTTGATTAATATTTTGGATAGCTGCTCTTACATCGTAAATAATCCGGTTAACTTCAGCACTACGAAGATTCTGCCTTGGACTGATTACAGCTTGATAGAAGTTTATTTTACTAAAAGTCATTAGGCAGACTCTTGATTATTTTTATTTCTGATAAGATATGTAATCGAAACTATAACAGATCGTTAGCACTACACGAGTATTATAATTGACAAAAAAATCATAGCGTTCTGATGTACTATAGAACCTACATGCTAAAAGAAGAGTTGGGATATCCGACCGCACTGATCACTAGGGATGTCATTTTCCTGTTAATTTAAAATAAATATAATTTTTTTTCATTCAATGTATAATTTATTAAATTTTAAATTAAATTATAAATAAAATAAAGTTATTCTATTTCTTTCTGATATTTCAATCCAGGCAGATGAGCAACAAAAAAAGAACGCTCAAAAACAAGTTAAAATTTGGACGAAAATAAACTCGTAAATAATGTACATGAAAACATGTTACTAACGCATTAGATTTTTGCATGAATATGTATCTATTTCGAAGGTTCAACGTGTTTTCAGGAAATTTTCATGTGAGTTTTCTACGAGCTTCTTTTCGTTCAAATTGAAATTCGTTGTTTTCCTTTCTTCGTCTGCCTACATTAAAATATCAAAACGAAATAGAATAATTTTATTGTGTTTATAATTTAATTTATAATTTAATAAATTATGAGTTGAGTGAAAACAATTCATATTGAAAATAAACTAAATTTGTTATAGTTTATATTTGAAATAAATATAACTTACGACAACTTATATTTATTTCCAAATATGAAGTATACGGTGTGGGTATCGGTATTTCTATTACTCACACCCATACCCTCACTTCCTTGCAACTGTGATAATCTGTTTGTTTTTCTTCATATAAATCTGAATTATCTTCTCGATCCTTCTTTGTCTTCTTTCAAACATTATATATACCACTGATGCAAGGTTAACACAATCACAATTATATATTTTATTTTTCTGAAGCCAAAGAAATGCATACGCCATCCGCAACGCTAGCTCTACTTTTCATGCTTACCATTTCTTCTTGGCCAAATACTGAAGGTGCCGGCTGTGGAACCTACAATTCATTGGTGTACACCTGCTGCAATGGTGTACTGACTTTGGGAAGCGGACAATCATGTTGTGGCACGACAGCCTACAACTATGCATCCTACACTTGCTGCAATGGTGTACTGACTTTGGGAAGCGGAAAATCATGTTGTGGCACGACAGCCTACAACTATGCATCCTATACTTGCTGCAATGGTTTACTGACTTTGGGAAGCGGACAATCATGTTGTGGCACGACAGCCTACAACTATGCATCCTATACTTGCTGCAATGGTTTACTGACTTTGGGAAGCGGACAATCATGTTGTGGGACAAAAGCGTACAACTATGCATCCTATACTTGCTGCAATGGTGTACTGACTTTGGGAAGCGGAAAATCATGTTGTGGCACGACAGCCTACAACTATGCATCCTATACTTGCTGCAATGGTGTACTGACTTTGGGAAGCGGAAAATCATGTTGTGGCACAGTAGCCTATAACTATGGATCCTACACTTGCTGTAATGGCGTACTTACGTTCGGATCAGGTTCAGCATGTGGAAAATAGACTATCATGCACAACTTCATGAACAAACACTGACATAATTCTAAAGATAGGACTACGGAATCTCTACTTTGGAACGCTTTGTTTTTCAGCAATTCGTTCTATTAATTATCTATTCCATAAAATACTCTTTATATGTTCAACCGTCTCTTCTGTGTGTTATTCTATCTCTTTTCTGTATTCTTTGTGTAAGATTGATTTTTCTAATTCTCCTAAATCTCTTAGTCTCTTCTATTTATGAGTGAACTTTGAATCTAGATAGTTTGTTTTTATGTTATTTGTCCTATTTTGCTTACGTCTGTAATGACTACCATTTTTTATATTAATTCCAAAAAAAGACGAGCCTTCATATTCATAAACAATGTTCTGGTTTTTAGTTGACTCAGGTATGTATCGAGATGAAATTGCCGTTATACGACTCAGATAACAGGGAAGATTACGTTGATACTCCTGACTTCTTGTTCTGAAAGAGAAAAAGTCTCACTCATCCTTTATTTTTTCCGGTGTATGCATCTTTTAATGCAATTATAGACAACTTGCGCATCTCTTCTATTCCAAAGACACGCACTGTTCAAGACTTTTTAAACTTAAACGTTGGGTTAAGTTTTCATTGTAAATGCTTTTCAGCCAAGTTTAACCTGTTCTTTTGTTCATACAAAAAGAAAATAACTAGATGCTAGCTGTGTGCTACGCAAAGATCGAAAACCGAGTGAATGAAATAATGAGTGTGGATGTGGGTTAGAGTCCTTCATCGACTCCAAATAATTTTTCTGGACTTAGTCAAAGAAATGTGAACTGCTCGATCAATTTTTGTAGTAACACAGTACTCTAACATGTATCTTGTAGGAAAACATATTTTCTTTCATCTCATACATTGAGAAAAGTACTACAATATTTTTCTAAATATATGAGATGGAAGAGAAAACATTTCCCTAAACCCCTCCCCATAATAGAAGCCGCTCCCATATTAGAAGCCCCCCTTATTAGAAGCCCCCTCTGAGATGAACAACGTGTTTGACGTATTAGAAGCCCCCCTAATTTTTCGAAAAAATTTTAAAACTTTCAAAATTTTTTTTGCATTTTCATGCTAAAACTGCTAAAATTTTTCGATTTTCAGGTCAAAATTTGGTTGACTCTTATCTAGCTTAGCTAACATCTGGAAATAATGCCAAAAATCTTCTGGAAAACTCATAAAAACCTTGAAAGTCTCTAAAAACCCTTGTGAACCCTTTTTCCTGGCAGTTTACGAAATTTTTTTGAGACTTAATAGAAGCCCCCTCCAGAAGCTTCATATGGTAGACATATTAGAAGCCCCCGGGGGCTTCTAATATGGGGGGGGGGGGTTATCAGATATATGTTAGAGTAATGTATTAATACGAAAAATTCATAGAACAACTCACATTTCTTTGACTAGGTGTAGAAAAATATTTTCGGACTTCATGAAGAAGTCTATTACAGTTGTATGTTTATTGAAAACTGATTTAAACCTTCATACGATGCATTTCGACTACAGCTCACGCAACCATCATTAGCTATGTTCTGTATATGTAATGCTACATCAATATAACTGGAAGATATATAAGTAAAACTGGCATATTGAAAAGACTTTATATGAAAGTCAAGAAAGACTAACAACGTGAAGAATTTTCAAAGTTTCGAAGTAAATATGCCAAACCAGAATATATGTATAGCGTAATAGTTCTAATATAAGTGGATGTGTTTATAGAAAAATGATTCAAAGCAGCATATGACATGTTTTATTTGCATGATGTTGTGTTCAGGAGCTGATGCGCAGCTCGATGTAGTTAGGGGGTTTATATCGTTGATATTTCATGTTTAGCGATGTGTACTGTCTGAAGTATTGCTTCGAAAATATTTTTTTGAGAGCGGTTTAATCTAGAATAGAAGAAGGCTGAATCATTGTAATTCATTAGAAAAAGTATTTAATTAGAAGAAAAAGAATATTTATTTTCATGAGTATTAATGATTAAATACAAGGATGTGCTTGTGGATGTGATAGAAGGTACCATAATGTGTTTTGACTCTGTTCAAGGAACCTAATCCGGTGATTCAGTATCTCTAAGTCGAATAAATTTCAAGGAAAACTTGAGAAAAAATCAATTCAAGACCAATTTACATATCTAGAAGTTAAAAAAGTTAAATTCAAAGCAATACACAGCGTTTCTTCCTTACTTAAGGGACTCATCAAGTATTTATTTGTAAAGTTAATATATGGATTTTAATCAATATCAATATAAATATAGATGGAGCAATAATACGAGACGAAAGGATGTGGATGTGACACATCCACACTCCACACCTAGCTGAATAAGGATTATGTGATATTAGTAAATTATTTCTTCACAAGTATTTGTCATATCATCGTAATTTGTCTTTTCATGAAATGTGGCTTCTAAATTTTAGGATATCGATAGTCGTGATGTGAATAATATTTTCTTTGTAAACAAAAATTCATTAACTTTCTTAGTCCAGATTTTATCTTTCATGCTAGAAAATTTCAATGTTCTTGAGCTCCTGTTTTTTTAAACCATTACATATTTATATGAATGAGAATCCTGCTCAACAATCCTAACACAATATAATTAAATGTCTTAAGAAAGAATTAAAGAATATTATTTAAATGAAAACAGTTATTTCTATACCATGACTGTAGCTAGTCGAAAATTTGAATGAATCAAACATATCTTAAGTAAAATGAATATGCGGTTAATTGTCAATATTCAACATTATAAGATATTTGTGATGCATTCTATAGCTTTTTACGCTTGATTATTATCGCATTAAAGTGAAAACATACCTATATGATGTATAAGTCTCATTTAGTAGTCTAAATAAAAACTTGAAATGTATTCTAACTTTCATAAGAAAAGCTTCAACGTCATCATAATCTTCGTTGGAAAAAAGGTGAAGTAAAAAGCAAAGTTTTTTATTATACAAGAAATTTAAAAACGAGAGCTTATGTTTATTGAAGAGGTCTTTAAATTCAGTAACAAGAACATCATCTTTCTTAAATATAAAGCATGTAACAAAGACTTATAACTTGTCTCATGAATAATTAGATGTAATTGAGAGTCGCATTGAACCATAAAATCTTTTTTTTATTTGTATATTCTAACCAAGAGAATTTTATTGTACATAACTTTAAATTGATTTCTTTGTTTTTCTTAAAGATAAGTATTTTTTTGTAACAATCCAGATTTTATCGATCATTAAAACTTAAATTGACTAAGTGTTTTGTATTTTCTAAAGTAATATAAGGATAAATTAATTCAGATAAATCAACAATCGTTACTTAAACGGATGCTTGTTTTTGTAGATGTTCTTGTTATGACATGACATCTATATATATGTATTGTTAATCTATTCTGTTTTCTTTCCTTCTTATTTTATGTTATACATATATATATATATGCATGCATTATTATGTACTGGGGGTGATTCTTTAGTTTAAAAGAAATAAACAAAGTTTATGTTCTACTAGAACGAACCTATTTTGCCCTTAATGAAAAGTAGAACATAACAGTGGTTATTGAACTTAAAATTAATATTTGATTATTTATTCCTTATTATTAGTCTGGGAACTTCCTGTGATATAGGATTGTACCTGTTATTTCAATATTTTTTTATTTATATGAGTGCTTATGAACACACGATCTAATTTGGACTTACACGCGATTCCAATTTCTGAATTGCAATATACATCTTCTCGTCAACAAACAACAGATACGTTAGTTCAGTCAACTAATTCTATTACAACTATGGCTACTGTGCATTCTACTGTTAAATCAGATGATGACCATGAAAAGACAGATGTCGAAGCATTATGTGAATATAAAAAACAACATTTAAATGCAATTAAAATCTTAACTGCCGAAGAAATGCTAAATATTGATCAATGGTTATTAACTTTATGTAACACATATGAAGAATTACATTGTCCAACACTATTTCGTGTTTACAATGCTACACAATATTTTTTAGAGGAAGAACAAGCTTGGTTTAAACAAGAAAAGAATACAATAAATAAAGATTGGTCATGTTTTTGTGAAAAATTAAAACAACATGTTTATAATAGGCTGAAATCTTATGCTGATAATTCTTCAAAAGATCATTCAATAGAATCTTCTAATGCAAAGAAGCAACTTGAACAATTTACATGTGCTACATATTCGTCATCAGACGATAATAATTCATCGTTTACATCTCAACTTCCTGTTACCATGGCTAGGGAGCTTATACGAACTCCAACTTATTTTCGTGGTTCCAAAGATGATGTTTTAGACTGGTTAGAGAAATTAGAACAACGATTTAAAATGGCAACTTGGGATGATGAAACTAAATTACGATATATTTCTATACATTTACAGGATGATGCATATAGATGGTGAATTCAAGCATCAAAAAAAGTCACGTCCTGGTCGGAATTTATTAATAATATTAAGCAAGCATTTGCATCAACGAAAATGAAAGAATTAGCATTTGATCAATTAAAATGGTATAAACAATCTGTTAATCAATCGATCACTCAATATTATGATAAAATTATAGAATTATGCATGAGAATTGATCCGAATATGCCTGATTCTTTGAAATTACAATATCTTATTGCTGGTGTCAAAGAATCATCAAAATTACATATTGCTTTACATGACCCACAAACCAGTGAATCATTTTTATTATATGCAAGAAAAGTGGAAGATACTTTATCATTTACTAATAGTACCTACGAACCTAATCAAAATGATGATTATTCAAACGTTGCTGCAATGCAACAAGTTTCAACTCCACCAAACACATTTTTTCGACAATGCAAATCGAACAAAAATAATTATGTTAAAAATTCACAAGCCCACACATATCAATTACATCATAACGATGTTCCATCTAATGACAAGGTTACTTATTCTAATCGATCGCGTTATGGATCACAAAAGTCAACTTTACTTATTTGTTATAATTGTGGTACTCCCGGACATTATTCTCGGGACTGTACCCGTCCCCATTTCGAATGAGGGGAGCATCAGTCGATGGTGTTGCTTCCAATATTTTATATAATAATCCATCGATACTCAATACTTCGCTATTATATCTAACAACTTTAGTGAATAAACAAACTATGAAAGTAATGATTGATACAGGTGCAAATAGAACTTTCATTTCTAGTAAAGCTTTACATTCAACAAACGGTAAGCAATTTATTAATAAAATACAACGATGTGTCTTTTTAGCTGATGGTCATACATCTATATTCGTTTATGGTGAAGTTAAATTATATATAATGATGGGTGATATACAAGCTTCAATAGGAGCACTGATTGTTAAACAATTATGTACTGATTGTATTTTAGGCATGGATTTTATTAACAAATATAAATTAATTATTAATACTGAAGATCAGACAGTATCCATACGTGACAACACCAAGCGTACAACATTACAAGTTGATATTAACTCACACAGTGTTCGTTTTCCTACCCGTTTGATCAACAATATTCGAATTCCACCAAAACGAACTATTTCTGTTCCTGTATCTATTAATTTATTATCAGCCAAAGTGTTATTTCGTCCCTCTTTCAAGTTACAACAGTGAATACCTTTACTTATATTAAATTCTTTATTAACTGTTCAACATCGTACTTCGTTTATTTCGCTTCATAATCCAACAGCTCATCCTTGTTTCTTACCTAGAGGCAACATCTTAGGAACAACTACTATACCTACATTATCTTCAAGAAAAACTTCACCTATTGATCATCAGTTAGTAGATGGTCATGTTAGTAAATTAATTCAACACATTACTAATTCTGAACAACATGAAAAGGTCAAATTTGTTTTATCTCAAAATGCGAAATTATTTGATACCAGCAAACCAACAGTTGCTCGTACTTTAAAACCACATGAAATTAAAACACTTGATCATCCACCACCAACATCAAAGCCATATTATTCAACTCCACTTAAACAAGAAGCAATGTATGAAATTACACAAGAATTATTATATTTTGGATTAATTCGCCCATCTTATTCTCCTTATGCAGCTCCAGCATTATTGGTAGCCAAGCATGATGGTACATGGAGAATGGTAGTTGATTATAAAAAAATAAATAATATTACGATTAAAGATAATCATCCGTTACCCAATATGGAACAAGCAATACAAGTACTTGGTGGTGGTTATAAGTTCTTTTCTAAACTCGATATGAAAAGTGGATTTTGGCAAATTCTAATTAAACAAGAAGACAAATATAAAACTGCCTTTATTACTCCAGATGGTTTATATGAGTGGAATGTACTAGCACAAGGATTAAAAAATTGTCCACCATCATTCCAACGTGTTATGACTGATATTCTATCTCCATGTCGACAATTTGCATTGGTTTATATTGATGATATTGTCGTTTATTCTCAGTCATTTGAAGAACATCTTGATGAAATGTAGTATTTTTCAACATCACATTGATTATTTATCTCATACAATTTCGGCACATGGTGTTAAACCTATTGATGAAAAAATTCAAGCTATTATTAAACTACGTGAACCTAAAACATTAGCTGAAGCAAAGAAGTTTCTTGATGCTCTTTCTTGGTATCGTAAATTTATACCACAATTCGCAACAATTGCAGCACCTATTCATTCTATTACTAACTTAACAAAACCAAATCGAAAAACATTTCTTTGGGGAGATTCACAAAAACAAGCATTTTTACAATTGAAACAATTATTAGTCAATGCTCCATTATTTCTTAATTTTCCTAATGATAATCATCCTGTTATATTAACAACTGATGCATCGAAAGTTGGTATTGGTGGAACTTTGCAACAAATTATTGATGGTGAAACAAAAAATTTATATTATCATTCTCAAGTTACATCATCTACTCAACGAGGATGTGATCCAATTGAATTAGAAGCTTTAGCCATATGGTTATGTTTTCAACGTATGCGATCATATTTGCTTGGTCGTTCTATTATAATTTATACAGATCATTTTCCTTTGTGTAATATGATGAATTCATCGGCGAAGAATCGACAAGTAGATCGTATTTCCATATTATTACAAGAATATAATATTGAAAAATTATTCATATTAAAGGTCAACATAATTGTTTAGCTGATTATTTATCTCGTTATCCAATTCAATATCACGAAGAATTATTTGATGAAGACTACGGTATAAATATGTTCTTTGCAGGGGAACCACCGTATGCGGTGTCTGTTTCTGATGTAAAACTCTCTATTATTAGTGCTGTTGTTACACGTACACAAACGAAACGAATTTTACAACAACAATCGACGCTTGATATACCTTCGATGGCAGATAAAAATGATCCAAAGTCGTTTACAAAGATACCCATTCATTATGAGGAATCTCGCGATTCGGTTTATCCATTTACTTGCAATAATTTTGATATTGGACAAGTCAAAGCAGAACAAGCTAAAGATCCTGCTATACAAAAAAAGATCAAGGAAATACATAGCAACACCATTAACAATTCATATATTTTACATGATGGCTTATTATATAAATTAATGTCTATGAATTCTAATAATAAAACAAAACTTAAATTACTATATTTACCGTCTTCTATGATCGACACTTTACTTAAAGCATATCATGCTGATCCGCTAGCGGGTCACTTTGGTATAAAACGTACTTATTTAAAATTAAAGTACAAATTTTGGTGGCCCAGTATGATGCAATCTATTATTACATATATAAAATCTTGTTTACCATATCAACAACACAATATTAGCCGAATTAAAAAACCAGGTCAATTATATCCAATTGAAACACCTGACGGACCTTTTCAATTAATTGGTATTGATTTTTGTGGTCCTTTTAAACGTACTCCTCGTGATAATCAATATGTATTATGTATTACAGATTATTTTACAAGAGGGATTAATGCTATAGCTCTACCTGATTGTTCGGCTCAAACGACTGCTCAAACAATTTTTAATGAATACATTTGTCGATATGGAGTACCAAAATCTATATTGTCTGATCAAGGTACTCATTTTAATAATCAATTGATGGATTCTATGGCCAAATTAATTGGATATAATAATATTTATTCAACTGTTTACCATCCACAAAGTAATGGAATGGTTAAACGTTTTAATGCTACATTTGTGCCGCAATTAGCTAAACTTCATGATCATGAAAACAACAATTGGGATGAATACCTATCGCCCGTGATCTTTGCATATAATATGTCTTTTATAAACCGATTGATTATTATACTCAATTGAAAAAACGCTTGCAAATCATTCCTACAAATGCCCGTACTAATATTATTCACCAACAATCGAAATATAAAAAACATTATGATAAAAATCGGTGTGATCCTATTTATCAACTTAACGATCAAGTTTTAATTAAAGTTCATGGATCCAGATCGAAATTTGACCCACCATATTCTCTTACACCTAAGATAATTATTAAAAAACAACACCCGAATTATTGGGTTAAAGATGACCAAACTCAACTTGTCACTCGTGTTCATGTTAATGATATTCGTCCTATATTTGTGATATAAAAATAAAACAATTTTTTTTTAAATTGCAGCATCAAACATCAATGAATTAATATTTACTATTAACTTTCTGCAACATGATAAAAATAAAAATAAATAAAAAAAAAAGTCATCATATATTATTCTCATGTATTTATATGATCCTTCTATTCATGATTTATTGCATTACTGCTTATCAGATTGATGATTCGTTTCCTTTTATTTTATTTTATGTTAAACGCCATCTATATTTTCTATTATGTTTTCATTTCGTTATGTTTATCATCGTTTTTCAATGAAAATGATAAAGCTAATTCTCCATGATCTACATATTAATTTTGTTCATATTAAACGTGAAAAAGATCAATTAATTGTAGGTGTTAAAAATTCAAAATTAGCAGAACAATTACATCAGCAACTACCATTAGATATATTTGATCGACAACATTACTATAATTATTACCCTTATATCCTATTGTGAACCTCCTTATATGGAGAGTTCATGTAAGTATCTACTATTATTATTTTTTTTATTATTTAGTTGTTGTTATTGTTTTCAAAATGGTCCATTTTCAATTGATTTTACAAAAAACAAAAATTTCGATTATAAAATCGAAAATATGATTTAACATTTCTATTATATATTTTTATATTATTGAACGACCAACAAGTATTTATATTCATGTTTTTGTTCAAACATACCATTCCTTAATCAACTTCGAATTAATTGATATACAATAGTATTATCTTCATTTATCATCAACTGATAATGATAATAAAACAAACAAACAAACAAACAACAAAATATCATCATTGGAATTTATTATTATGATTGAATGTTTATCTATATGATCAACAAGAACCAACATTTATAACTGCTTTAATTTGTTTTTTGATTTGATTCAAAACCACAATTACAAATATATGTGGATATTAATATGAACTAGTTGTTTATTTCTACGATCATAAGTTAGATCATTTTTTCATTCTTCCTATCATTTCAGGTCAACCTTATTGCTCTGTTATATTTCAACGTTTCATTCTGTTACTGTACT